GTGGCTCTTCCACAAAATACCAACTTCTGCCTACGGGCCACGAAGTTTCAATGGCACTGTCTATGCGCACCCGCACGTGCTATTTTGTGCAAGACCAACACTCAAGGGGCCAAAGATCAGCGTGTGGCTTGCGAACAACAGTTTGCCGACTACGACCCTAGCCTATTTGACTCAGTGGATAGAGCCTTGGCCAGCGGACTCAAGAGGTCCAGGTTCAATTCTGGTCAAGGGCATGTACCTTGGTTATGGGCACATACTCAGTATGGACTGTACCGTTGGCAGCTGATGATGTTTCTCTCCTATCGATGTTTCTAACTCTCTATCCCTTTCCCTTCCTCTCCATAAAATATCAATAAAATATATTATAAAAAAAGGATAGCTTTTGTTAATGGAGGTCTTTTGATTCCATTTCCAGATTTTCTATTCATATATTAGTAAAAGACCATTGGAGTTATTGGGATTGCATTTAATCTGTAGTTTTCCTTGTGTACGATAGCTATCTCCACCATATTTTATTTTCAGATCCTTGAACATAGGTTGTCTTTCAACTTATTTGTGTTTTCTTTCATTCCTTTCATCACTGTCTTATAGTACTCACTGTACAGATGTTTCACATTTGGGTTGAATTTATTCCTTTGGGTTTTATTGTGTTTTTTGTTTTTTTGTTTGTTTGTTTTTTTACATTTTATTTTGTTTTATTTCTTAAAGTATTACAAAGAGTATTACACATGTCTCCTTCCTCCCACCCTTGACATCCCCCCGTCCTCCCCTATCCCCTGTTGTCTTGTGTCCATTGGTTATTCTTATATGCATGCATACAAGTCCTTCGGTTGATCTCTTACCCCCCGCCCCAACCCTCCCCAGGCTTCCCACTGTAGTTTGACAGTCTATTCAATGCTGCTCTGCCTTTGCATCTATCTTTGTTCATCAGTTTATAATGGTTTTTATTATCCATAAATGAGTGAGATCATATGGTATTTTTCTCGGATTCCCAGGGGCCGTAGCAGCCTCGGGGCCTTCCCAACCTCACCAGGGCTATCCCAACCTCACCAGGGCTATCCCAGCCTCACTGGGGCCATTTCAGCCTCACAGGGGCCATCTGAACCTCACTGGGACTGTTTCAACCTCACAGGGGCCTTTTCGACCTCACCGGGGCCGTTTCAATCTCACAGGGGCCGTTTCAACCTCACAGGGGCCGTCTCAACTTCACCTGGGCTGTCTCAACCTCACCGGGGCCATCTCAACCTCACCAGGGCCATTCCAGCCTCACTGGGGCCGTTTCAAACTCACGGGTTCTGTTTCACCCTACCGGGGCCGTTTCAGCCACACTGTGGCCATTTCAATCTCACCGGGGCTGCTTCAGCCTCACCAGGGCCGTCTCAGCCTCACCGGGGCCGTCCCAACCTCACCGGGGCCGTCCCAACCCCAACAGGGCTGTCCCAACCTCACTGGAGCCGTTTCAACCTCACCGGGGTCATTTCAACCTCACCGGGGCCGCCTCAACCACACAGGGGTCGATTCAGCCCCGCCTCAGCCTCTTAGGGGTCTTCCCAGCCTCACGGGGGCAGGCTCAGCAACACGAAGTTTGGCATTCTGTCTTGTTGGGCAGCTCCTTGCTAGAGAAAATCTCCAGGCGTTCTTGGTGGCTGAATATCTGGTATGCCTTCCTAGATTTCGCCCTCTACCAAGTGCACAGACTGCTTGTCTGCCGTCTCCCAGCGTCCCATGTGAGGCTGGATCTAGTGGACCTGCCTGTGGGTTTGCTGGTACAGCAGTTCCACATCACCAGCCCAGCCGGGTCCGGCTCTGGCTTCCTCCGAACCTGATTCTGCTTCTTGAGTGCGTCCCTTATGTATGCGAGGATTTGAAATCTGCAGTTTGTTGGGTTGGGCTGCAAAAGCACAGGAGGTTCTCTTTGTGCCACTGGCACAGTTAGCGCAGGGATGTAAATTGAGTAGGACAGGGTCTCTGGGAGTCAGCAGTTCGGAGCAAAGGACAATGGCGTCTCCTTGACTCCTCGCCTCTCTGCAACTCCCTGTCCATCTCCGCGTCCCTGAGTGCCGGCAAGCAGCTTCGTGAGCAAGCCACCCTTGCTCTCAGACCCGCTGCAAGGCCACCCCACCTCTCCCTGTAGGGGTCTGGGACCTCAGAGTTCCGCCCCAAACAAGCTCAACAAAGTCTCCAGGCATTCTTGGTGGCTGAATATCTGGTACGCTTGCTTGGATTTCGTTCCCTACTAAGTGCACGGACTGCTTGTCTGCGTCTCCTAGCGTCCCATGTGAGACTGGATCTGGCGGACCTGCTTGTGTGTTTGCTGGCACAGCGGTTCCATGTCGCCGGCCCAGCTGGATCTGGCTCCGGCTTCCTCCAAACCTGATTCTGCTTCCTGAGTGTGTCCCTTATGTATGCGAGGAGTTGAAGTCTGCCATTTTTTGGGTTGGGCTGCAAAAGATCAGGAGGTTCTCTTTGAGCCACTGTCACAGTTAGGCCAATAGGATCAATGAGAACAGAAGCACAGTGGCTGATAGTGGTATCGCTGACCATTTAGTTTTATTTTTTATTTATAACATGTTTTTATTGATTTCAGACAGCAAGAAAGAGGGAGAGAGAGATAGAAACATCAGTGATGAGAGAATCATTAATTGGCTGCCTTCTGCATTCCTCCCAGCTGGGACTGAGCCTGCAACCCGGTCATGTGCCCTTGACGTGAATCGAACCTGGGACCCTTCAGTCGACAAGAAGATGCTCTATCTACTGAGCCCAACTGGCTAGGGTTGACCCTCTTTTTAAAGAATATATTTTTATTAATTTCTGAGAGGAAGGGGGTGAGAGAGTGATAAAGAAACATTAATGATGAAAAAGTGTCACTGATCAGCTCCCTCCTGCATGCCCCCTTCTGGGGACTGAACCCACAATAAACTGGGCATGTGCCCTTGAGTGAAATGGAACCTTGGACCTTTTAGTCCGCAGGATGACACTGTATCTACTGAACAAACCAGCTAGGGCTGATCCTTGCTTCCTTTATTTATTTATTTCCTTAGTTAGTTAGTTAGTTATTAACCCTTTTTTGAACTTAGATATCTTCATATGTGTTTGCTCAACCAGTTTTCTGTCATCCTTTCTATGCAGTTGTCCATATTTGGAATTCTGTATTACTGTTCGTCTTCATGGTACTCTTATTCCCAATTCCTGTGGGATTTTTTTTCATGGATAGCTGTCTACTTACTCTGGGATGGGGAAAGATTCTCTAACTCTGATTCTGCCATCTTGCTGATGTCACTCACATAGGTCTTTTGCCTGTGATCCCATTTGTGCTTTGTTGTTCTACCACAGTGCTGACCATACCTCGTTTTAGTTTGTCTTTTAAGATTTGCATCATTTATCTCATGTTGTGGCTCAACTTGGATTTAAGAGGCAAAATCTTTTGTGCATCACAGGAGAAACATGACTTTATCAATGACAGTGTAGACCCAGAGGCAGTCTTGCCTTGGTGAAGGGATTTGTGGGCAGTTTTCACGCCTGGGCTTTGTTACATTCATAACTAGGAAGCGATTTTGTTCAACAACAAAAATGTTTTGTTACCATTGCCCACTCCTCACCCAATTCTAATTCTTCTTGCTTAATGTTGACACTTTGCCTATGACTCAATTTTAATAGTGATCATTCTACTGGGACTCCCAGCCCATGGATAACCTGAACCTCTCTAAACTTTGCCCCTCTACCTCTATCACACATCTCGGCTTTACTGCACTCCAGTGTTGTTGCATGCCTGCAGAGCCTTAGAGCGCACACGTATTATATTGACACTGAACATCACATACTTTACTATGATTGATATTTTATGGGTTTGAGCACATTGAAATTATTTAACACAGACTCATATCGCCAGCATGAAAGGTCCTAAAGGAAGCCAGTTGTGGAGTACTAACGAGCAGACCCTGCCTCTCTTCTTTTCTTGCCAGCCAATGCTTCTGTCCTCCCTTGGTGATACTTTCCTCATTCAGTGACCTTGTGGGCCATGTTATATATAACAGACATTTCTTCCTTTCTTTTTTTTTTTTCTTATAACAGCTATTTCTTGAGAGTCTGACTCACTTGTCTTGAAAATCATTGTATGGAATCATGTCCCTTATCAATGTAATGAATGTGGAAAATCTTTTACCGAGAGCAGTGCCCTTCGTCGTCATCAGACAGTTCATACAGAAGAAAAGCCTTATAAATGCAGTGAATGTGAAAAATCCTTTAAATTCAGCAGTGGTCTCCGGTATCATCAGAGTGTTCACACTGGAGAAAAGCCTTATCAATGTAATGAATGTGGAAAATCTTTTACCGAGAGCAGTGCCCTTCGTCGTCATCAGACAGTTCATACAGAAGAAAAGCCTTATAAATGCAGTGAATGTGAAAAATCCTTTAAATTCAGCAGTGGTCTCCGGTATCATCAGAGTGTTCACACTGGAGAAAAGCCTTATCAATGTAATGAATGTGGAAAATCTTTTACCGAGAGCAGTGCCCTTCGTCGTCATCAGACAGTTCATACAGAAGAAAAGCCTTATAAATGCAGTGAATGTGAAAAATCCTTTAAATTCAGCAGTGGTCTCCGGTATCATCAGAGTGTTCACACTGGAGAAAAGCCTTATCAATGTAATGAATGTGGAAAATCTTTTACCGAGAGCAGTGCCCTTCGTCGTCATCAGACAGTTCATACAGAAGAAAAGCCTTATAAATGCAGTGAATGTGAAAAATCCTTTAAATTCAGCAGTGGTCTCCGGTATCATCAGAGTGTTCACACTGGAGAAAAGCCTTATCAATGTAATGAATGTGGAAAATCTTTTACCGAGAGCAGTGCCCTTCGTCGTCATCAGACAGTTCATACAGAAGAAAAGCCTTATAAATGCAGTGAATGTGAAAAATCCTTTAAATTCAGCAGTGGTCTCCGGTATCATCAGAGTGTTCACACTGGAGAAAAGCCTTATCAATGTAATGAATGTGGAAAATCTTTTACCGAGAGCAGTGCCCTTCGTCGTCATCAGACAGTTCATACAGAAGAAAAGCCTTATAAATGCAGTGAATGTGAAAAATCCTTTAAATTCAGCAGTGGTCTCCGGTATCATCAGAGTGTTCACACTGGAGAAAAGCCTTATCAATGTAATGAATGTGGAAAATCTTTTACCGAGAGCAGTGCCCTTCGTCGTCATCAGACAGTTCATACAGAAGAAAAGCCTTATAAATGCAGTGAATGTGAAAAATCTTTTAAATTCAGCAGTGGTCTCCGGTATCATCAGAGTGTTCACACTGGAGAAAAGCCTTATCAATGTAATGAATGTGGAAAATCTTTTACCGAGAGCAGTGCCCTTCGTCGTCATCAGACAGTTCATACAGAAGAAAAGCCTTATAAATGCAGTGAATGTGGGAAATCTTTTAAAAGTAGCACTGGTCTCCAATATCATCACAGATTTCACGTGGGAAAAAAACCTTATCAATGCACTGAATGTGGAAAATCTTTTACTGGTAAAACCGAACTTCATTGTCATCTGAGAGTTCATACAGGAGAAAAGTTTTATCAATGCAGTGAATGTGAAAAATCTTTTACCACGAAGACCCACCTTCATCGTCATCAGAGAGTTCATACGGGAGAAAAGCCTTATAAATGCAGTGAATGTGGGAAATCTTTTAAAAGTAGCAGTGGTCTCCAATATCATCAGAGAATTCACCCTGAAGAAAAGCCTTATCAATGCAGTGAATGTCAAAAATCTTTTACCACGAAGACCCACCTTCATCGTCATCAGAGAGTTCATACAGAAGAAAAGCCTTATCAATGTAGTGAATGTGGAAAATCTTTTACCACTAAGAAAAACCTTCATCGTCATCAGAAAGTTCATACGCGAGAAAAACCTTATAAATGCAGTGAATGTGGAAAATCTTTTACAGGTTGCAATTGTCTCCAAAATCATCAGAGAGTTCACACTGGAGAAAAGCCTTATAAATGCAGTGAATGTGGGAAATCTTTTAAAAGTAGCAGTGGTCTCCAATATCATCAGAGAATTCACCCTGAAGAAAAGCCTTATCAATGCAGTGAATGTCAAAAATCTTTTACCACGAAGACCCACCTTCATCGTCATCAGAGAGTTCATACAGAAGAAAAGCCTTATCAATGTAGTGAATGTGGAAAATCTTTTACCACTAAGAAAAACCTTCATCGTCATCAGAAAGTTCATACGCGAGAAAAACCTTATAAATGCAGTGAATGTGGAAAATCTTTTACAGGTTGCAATTGTCTCCAAAATCATCAGAGAGTTCACACTGGAGAAAAGCCTTATAAATGTATTAAATGTGGGAAATCTTATAAGGGCAGAAGTGGTCTCCTATATCATCAGAGAGTTCACAATGGGGAAAGCCATAATGAGTGCAATTAATATGAGGTATCTCTCAGCCAATTTCTAAATTCGCTCTGCACATGAGTCCAAATGTGAGAAATTTCTTAGATGTGTAGGAAATGTAGTTTCTTAGTTAGGGCTTAACATTAGTACAAGAAAATTTATGAATCCTCATTTTTCTGAATTGTTTTTCCTACATTTAATCACCTACATTATGTAAAGTTCCCATAAGTGTTTTATTTGTTGTATTTGTTTTTATGTTGAATCACTCTCTAATTATGTTGCACTTTTTAAGATACAGAATTTGTTCAGTCAATCATAATTCATTTAAACTTTTTTTTGAGACATTTGTTGTGCTGCTTCACTGTTTGATTGTATTTTTTCTACGAATTTATGGTGACCCTTTCCCAGAAGTGTACTTGTTGAGTCTGTATCTTTGTTAAAATCTCATATGTTTTTGGCCTGGACGAGTCTATTTTGAAGAAGTACTGTTGATATTTGGCTCTGTTGCATAATGAGTTTGCCGACCACTATACATAGACCAAAGGAGGTGGAGAGAGAGAGAGAGAGAGAGAAAGAAACAATAATAGCCAGGTGATGTGGCTCAGTCGACCTGTGAACCAGAATGTCACAGTTCCATTGCCCCTCAGCGCACATGCATGGGCTCCTGCTAGAGCATCATATGGGGCTTGCAGGAGGCAGCTTATCACTAATTCTCTTTAATCGTTGATGTTTCTATCTTTCTGACTCTTTCCCTTCCTCTGTGAAATCAATTAAAAATTAAAGAAAATTGAGTTCCTTATTTTAAGAAAGAAAAGAAACATCAAAGATGAGAGGGAATCATTGATCACTGCTTCCTCCATACCCTACTGGGGATAGAACCTGCAATCCGGACATGGGCTCTGACTGGGAATCTAACCAAGGACCCTTTGTCACGAGTTGAAGCTCAAGCACTGGTTCATACCAGATGGGTGATTCATTACTTTTTAAATGCTATGCCCTGTGCAATGAACATTTTTAATTTTAACCTGCAGTGTTAACATTATCCATTACTTTCAGAACACCAGTCATTTGATCCTGCACTAAGCCCTTGCTTTGTCCTCTTCTGCATTTTCCTTGTCTCCTGTCATGGAGATTCTTGCGTTGGAACATTTCTCTCAGGAAGGCCAGAGGGCATCTGGTTGGGCAGGGTGTTTAGAGTCCCAAAGCCAATGCAGCGGGAAATAAATGGGCAGTGATCAGACACCCTTTGCCCTGGATCAGGCATCCTAGATTTGAATTTCAATTCTTTGTTATCAATGGGACTTACAATGACATAACCCCTTCTGCTGGTCTAAGTCAGTTTCCTCCTGTGAAAAACAAGTATGAGGTATGTCCCCATGCCGGAGCTATTGGAGAAGGTCCAGTGGAAAGGTGTCCACTTGTGTAACGCAGCTGTGCCTGCAGCCTGCCTTGGCTCCAGCAACTCCAGCCACTCCCTGCAGAGACATTCCCAGGCAGGCACTCCTCACTCCCCCAATGCCCGCAAGCACCTTTGTCTTTGGGTGCATTTTAGTGAGAAATGGGACCTATAAGAAGCTGCTGACTCTGCTGCAGGGAGGCAGGTGCTGTGCCACTCAGGTCTCATTGTGGTGCGGCCCATATCAAATTGCTGAAAAAGCTCAATGTCAGAGAAATGAAGTCAGATTCAAGGAGCTGGATTTTAACTATTATTTTCTCCAGCGTCAGACACACTCTCTACCACTGATGTGCAGCCCTCACTGGAGCAGGTACAGTCTGAGGCCCAGGGTGCCTCAGCTGCAGCTCTTGTTTCCATGGTTGCAGTTATGCGTTTCCTCCCAGTCCCTTAACATCTCAGAATACTTATCCCTGGCCTCCTTGTGTGTAGGGGACACCATCATTTCTCAGTGCAGTGGTTTCTCTCGGCGAACCTTCTTTCAGAGTGAGCAGTTGTTTGTCTGCCTCCCCTTTGATCCCAGCACAGACTATGACCCTCAGGAGACCTCGGTAATTAGGGCTGGGTTTCTGCACTTGTCCCCACCTGTTGGGTGTCATACTTCTGTTCTCTTTATTGGGGTGAATTTCATGCTTCAGTTTGACCCCTAATATGTGACGCTGACACTCACCCCTTAGGAGAGGGTACAATTTGACATGAATTTTGGGACCTAATATTCGGAAGTGATGCTGGAGTCCTACATGATCCTGGTCTCAGTTGACGGGTGCTCACCTCTTATTCATGCATAGCTGTCCCTGGGCTGTGACCTCCACGAGTGCCTCTCCGTTGTCTCTCCCATAGGTGGGGCGAGATGGCTGGAGTGGGCTGGGGTTGGCTGTTCCCTTTCCCCAGGTGGACGAAGCTCTGCTAGAACCCCAACAGCGTAGGCTCTGGGAAGACAGCTTCTCCTGAACGCAGGCCTGGTGAAGAGCAGAACGCTCTGGCCTATTTCACACCGTCACTTCCGCCTCCCCCTGCTGGCAGCATGAGGGCATTTTCCTTGTGAGAATCCAGGTGAGAGCTGCTGGAGCCAAAACTCAGCAAAAGCACTCGGATCCCCTGGCACTCAGACTCGCCTGCGCTGAGCCCCAGCAACCTGTCCACTAGAGTCCAGGTTTCCCTCCGCTGCCGCCGGCTCCCACGGAGGTCTCTGTGCTCCGGTGAGTCGTGACTCTGTGTCTGTGCGTCTGTTTCTCCGACGTCCAGGGCAGCACTTTGCCCTGTGACCTCCACTTTCCTGCTCAATCTGGGGAGGGTTGTTGAATTTTCAGTTTGTTTAGCTTCTTACTTGCTGTTAGAATCTGGTGATGATTTACACGCTCCTTACATACGCTGGAAGGGAAACCAGAAGTCAACTCTACGCTCATTGAAAAACCGTAAGACTCTTAAAAATGGTTAAAAGGTACATTTTCTATTATGCATATTTTACCCCAATAAAAAACGTTAAAGTAATTTAAAAAAATGAGAAATTATAAATGGGGAAAGGGGTGCAAGGAATAAGATGATTTTCCCATATGCTTGCAAGATAGCTCTACTTGATCATGCCATCCACACATCAAATTAAACATATTTGAATCCCTTTAACTTACTTTGCCTCCTATGTATTTTTAAAAAATATATTTCTATTGATCTCAGAGAGGCAGGGAGAGTGAGAGATGGAAACATCAATGATGGCAGAGAATCATTTCTGGGCTACCTCCTGTGTGCCCCACACTGGGGATCAAGCCCACAACCCGGGCATGTGCCCCTAACTTGAATTGAACCAGGAACCCTTCAGTCCACAGGCCGACACTCTATCCACTAAGCCAAATCAGCTAAGGCTATCTATTTAATTTGTAGACTAACCAAAGAACCTACAAAAGAAGGGAAAATTATTTTGCCTCAACAATGTCATTTCCCTCATCTTCTTTCACAATCACTCCCGTAACTCCACAAAATAAAGGAATACTGTTAAGTTTTGGGCGGTGATACAGCCTGTGAAAGAATTCACAACTAAAAGCAATGCAGAGAGGAAGTTTATTTTACTTTCCAAGAGTGGAAAAGGCCAAGTATTGCTAGTCAATTCAGGGCAGGGAAGAAATGGTGGATTCTGCTTTTCAGCAGTGCCTGTTACTAAGAGACAAAGAATGGAGGGGCCTTGGGCTGAGCTGAATTGTGTAGATAAGAGGGGCTGTCCTTAAAAGTTAAACTTTGTTTGTCTTCCAGGAGACAGTCTGGCAGATGTTCTAGGGAGGTGTCTTATCAGTTTCTTTCCCAGCCTATAAGATATGACCAGAAAAAATGTTATGAAGAGTTCAAAAGAGGCTTGTTTCAGGGGTAGAGGGGAGGAAACTTTGTTACTAGAGACTCCTTGGTGTGAGTTATCCCTCAGTTGTACTAACAGCAGGAAGGAGGGGTATGTAAGAAATTAGCCTTAAAAGTAGCTTATCTTGTTCTGCAGTTTGAACAGAGGAGCTCTTTGAATTAGAGGAGCCAGTAATTTGGGGTTTAATTTGCAAGTGCTTCTCATAAATTGTGGAAGGTCACAGAAAAAGAAACAGAAAGACTTCTTCTTATCCTTACAAATACCTGGAGGACTTTTAGAACCTAAGGCTTTATTAACCTGAGGAGTGAATACTTCTAGGAGACCAAATAAAGGGACAGGAGGCAGTACTGGGGGCATTGTGTTCAGGAGGATGTCAGCAATGTGTCCCAAAGGAAATACACCACTCAGTGATTTTTCTCCTGACACCATAGGTTTCAACACTACAGTATGGACAAAAATGATGGTACATAGTAACCATAGGGAGCTCAGGTAGCCTGGCATGGCATGGTGAATCCTAAAAACTCAGAGGACAAAAGTAACCACCTACGATGGTTTGAAATTAAAACTTTCTAAGGAAAAGCAAGTCACAGGGATAGTTATGTCCTAGCCTCCTTTTTTTCTTTTGTTCCTTTGCAAAGGTCAATCTTTACCTTATTAAGCCTGTCAATTTTCTTTTTGCATCTAGGATAACATACCTTTGGATTTTCAGGGAAATTTCCTTTTTTACAGACACTTAATAGCACAATCTCCAAACACAGAAGACCTCAGAGCTAGAATTATTATGGTT